TTCTGGAAATTGTTATCTCATGCTTCAAATTTTAACTGAGTACAGACCAATGAAACTACTGACATATAGAATAGAAGTTATAATGAACCTTTCTCTGTCTTTTTAATGGATCCACTTGCACCTAATATATCACCAATATCAATAAATGCCTTCAGCTGCTCAAATTGGTCCTCCGTAAGGCTGTCTTTCTCGCAATAAAGCTACCCATAGCCAAAAGAAAGAAAGGCCCATAAACACATAATCAGTGCCAAATAAATCATCATACTTCTGTAGCTAGTAGCTACTAATAACAACAACAAATGCAACTGAAAACTGCAGATAGCTCGGCTGCTATGTGCAGATGGCTTACAAGTGCAACATTATCATGTAGCATATGTATATCCCACGTCAAAACGAATTCTAAGGAGAGAACAAAATAAGGCAAGTCGGTTGCAAGATCAGACCTGCATAGTCCCCGCATCGTCTCTTACAGTCATAAAAACAAGCTTTCCAAATGCCCTTCGGGCAACAATCCTGCCAGCTACGGACACAGACACGTCCTCGCACACTTCACCATTCACAAGATGAGCGTACTGTTCCTGAAGCTCCTTGGTAGTGTGAGTCCTGTCCCACTTGTACGCGTACGGCTCATGCCCCTTCGCTCTGAGCTCCTCAACCTTGCAACCAGAAAACCAACGATCCCAAGCTCGTCAGTAACAGCAGCACGGACCAAACAATGTAGAACTGAAGACGCGACCAAGAACGAAGAGCTGACTTTTTTCAGGCGGATGGCGCGGATGGAATCGCGGTCGGAGGTGGAGGCGGATGAGGATGCGCTACGGCGTCGGCGATCCTGAGGCTGCGCCGGCGGGTTCGTGGTGGCGGCGGCCGCGGAGCAGCAGCGGATGCGGAGGCCAAGGGTCCTTGAAGCGGCGGCGCGGGAGGCCGCGAAGCCGATGAGATTGGAGGAGGCCCTCCACGCCCGCAGCGCCTCCATTGATCCGGACAGGGCTCAACGAATGAGCGGAGTTTTCTGGTGGCGCCTCCGGGCCGATCTGCAGTGAGCTCCTCGCCGCGGTAGCCTCGCACGTGCTCGCCGCCGCCGCGTCCCGAGCGTGCGTGCGAGTGCGACTAGCCGCGGCGGGAGAGGGAGCAACGCAACGGACGGCGGCCGCGGGAGCGAGGATAGGGTCTACCTGCTGGCTGCTGAGAGGGGCCCGAAACCCGCCCACGGCAGCCACGGCCCACGGGGAAGCGTCGGCAGCCCTGGACCAACCCAGCCCTCCCCGCGGCCCATTCTGGCTGGGTTGACGCGTCCAAGTCGGGGCCGCAGCCCGCAGCAAAAACCAGCCGCCAACGGGCAACGGCATATGCCGTGCGCGGTGCGACCGGACCCACTTGTCCCGGGCGGGCCCCTAGCTGTCGTGCCAACCATGGAAATATCTCTCCTCTGCTCCGCCGCCGGGATTTTAGGGTTCTAGGCCGACTCCACTCCAATCCAATCCTGGGGCGGGCGACTGCCTCCTTGCCTCGATTATTCCCCATCTTGTCCCTCCCTATAAGCTCGCCTTTCCTCCCTTTGCTAAAAATAACGAGGCAGAGGCATCTTCGATTCGACGTGCGCTTCCTCTTCATCGCTCGCTCCCAGTCGCAGGTACCTACGACCTGGCCCCTCTCTCTCTTACCTATGTATGTACGGATTTCTTGCCGGCTAGATCTCTCTTTGCTCGATCTGCTTTTCGTTCACATCTATGCTGCGGCTCTAGTCAGATTTGGTCGGGATTTGCTAAGTTTGACCAGCGTATGCACAGGCCCCGATCTGGATTATGGAGCTTGACTATCTCTCCTTTTTTTTTATGTTGTAGTATCTAACAATCTCCATGTGTTCCATCGTGAAGTTACACGCTGACATGGATTTTGTATCTAACAATCGTTAAGTTACACGCACACATGATTTGAAGTTTAACCTTGCTGTGTTGTAGTTAGGTGCGCTTCCTGAGCACACCATGTACTGATTTCTGCAAATTAGTAAAGGATTATAAACTGTAAGCCGCTTCTTCTGCTTTTATTAAGAGGAAGTTGTTCTTCTGCTTATAAAATACGCTTTGTTTCTCGGAAAAATTAAAACGGGGAAAACCTTTTCTTCTAAAATAAATATCACAGTGAAGGCTTTTGTTGGTCGATTTTTTTATCTTCTGCCTTAGTATAATCAGTAAGAATGACTTAAAAAGTTTACTGTACAGGGTACCTGTAACCTTCACAGAATCTTCAGTGATCTCTCCTGGTAGCGCTAGCTTCCTACTTATATGTGTACATATTTGTTTATCTGTTCTAGTGATGGCTGATGTTGACGAGTACCGTTGCTTCATCGGGAATCTGTCCTGGTCGACAACTGATGAAAGCCTCAAGGACGCATTCAGCAAATTCGGCAACCTCACTGAGGCAAAGGTTACGTGAATAACCTCTCGTCTTTAGTTTTGCCTGAGTAATCCTTTTTACGAGCATGATAATTCCGAAGGTTGTGTTGGTAACTGTTGCTTAGGATAGTTTTTTCTCTCTCTTTTAACTAGTCAATAATTTTCTTTTGCACTGCAGTAAACATTGGTATACTATTAGTTTGTCTCTAAAGAATCTTAAATCTAACTGATTTGCTCAAACGCATCTTTTTTTTCTCACTCTATATCCAAAAATTTTCGCCATATAGTTATGTACGCTGTTTTGTTCCTACGAATGCTCTAGGAAATATTTTTGCCTCTGAATGGTCAAATAATTTTTAACTCACGTAAAGCGTACATCCATTGTGTGTACAATGTTGCTTTGTGCTTTATTTGTTATCTAGCATGGTCTCTTATTTGTGGTTTATTTAATTTTGTTTTGCTGGTAATATGCAGGTGGTTCTTGACAAATTTTCTGGCCGTTCTCGTGGTTTCGGCTTTGTAACTTTTGATGAGAAGCAAGCCATGGAGGATGCTATTGAGGGAATGAATGGACTGGACTTGGACGGGAGGAACATCACTGTTGATAAAGCTCAGCCACAAGGACCTGGTAGAGACCGTAATGGTGACCGTGATTATGACCGTGAGCGTGGATCTCGTTATGATCGTGGTCGTGACTATGGTGGTGGGCGTGCACCGCGAGGTGGTGGTGGTGGTGGTGGTGGTGGGGACTGCTTCAAGTGTGGGAAACCTGGTCATTTTGCTAGAGAGTGCCCATCTGGGGATGGTGGGAGAGGGGACAGATATGGTGGCAGAGATGACAAGTATGGTGGTGGTGGTGGCGGGCGTTATGGATCTGACCGTGGTGGTGACCGATACTCTGGCCGTAGCCGAGATGGTGGCAGCTATGGGGGCGACCGCTACAGCCGTGACCGATCAGGTCCTTACTGATGGCCTAGTTCTTGAGAAGTATGTGCCATCCAGGTATGGAAGTCTATCTACTATTATAAGGCTTGTTATTGTGTCTGGAACTTTGTTATCCTGTAGTCGGAGTCGCCATGTACCGTGAGAAATCAGTTGCTTTGTTATAGACCATATTACTGACCGGTTTATTATCGTTTCCTGCTTGCCAGGCATATGACTTGGTCATAGTGCTTGGCGCTTGGACCCTGCATGTTTGCTTGATATGCTATTTGGCTATTAAAAGATGGATTTTGTCGCTGTGTTGATGATCCTGGTCCTAATTAAGCTTATGTGGATATGCCTGTGATATGGGGGATTGGATGGCAAGTTAGTGTCCGCATTTGTGTTCTTTTCGGGGAAGCAAGGGGTTGACTATAATCTGCTTGAACACACCTACAACTACAAGAAAAATCTATGTTCTTGTCACATCTTCTGAAAGCAAGTGACGAATCATCCATTAGGGAAAATTAACTGGTAATGTTTTCAATCTTATACATCTAAAGTATTGTCTTACAACGTCATTCTCAAATGACTTTTGTTTTGGCAGGCTTCTTTTTGGTTATTTGTTCTTGTTCTGGATTGGTTGCTACCATCGTTCTGGATTGGTTACTTACGTCCTAAGATCATTTCAGTCGTCTCATTTTAGTCAGGCCAGTTGATATCCATGAGTGCAAAGAGATTATTCTTTGGTTCCATTCTATGTGCCTTTAGCATTGGAGGACCACTGTTACACTCACCATCGGGTGTCTTGACAAACTGGTTATGGTTGCTTCGCCATGCTGGGGTGTTCCTTGAGATGTCCCCTGTTCCTGTTCCTTGTGAGACCAGAGATTATGCTTAATCAGCCTGAGTGGATGTGATTCTATCTGGTTGCTGTTCCTTTGACACTGCACCACTGGCCTATTGCAGCTTATACGCTGGTTCCAGAGTAGTTACTGGTTCCCTTTTTGAGAGGAGTTACGGGGATGTTATGATTCATCAGCAGCATACTAATTGTCCTTTGGCATCTACATGTGTCTTGTCTTTGATTTAGAATAGCCTTTTCTTAGTTCACCTATTCTCAGGATGCAAATGTTAGGGTCGTTTGATGTTCGTACTAGCCAATTGAGTTTTTGTACTCGAGTACGTTACATTAGCTGCTCAATATTCTTTTCCCCGGTTTTAAACATGTTGATTTGTACTGAAAGTGCTTCTTTATCACTATCATGAGTACAGCGGATCTAACTTGTTTCTCTAAACCATGTGCCGTATGTTTTTTTGTGTTGCAATTAGAGCCATTTCCTTTCAGACTATTTTGAGTCTATTGGCGCCTGAGCCGGCAAAACATTCAGTCATCAACAACAGTAGCATCATTTTACCATGATCCAGTGGATCTAGCTTGCTTGTTTCTCAGTGTTGTCTGCTGTTTCGTGTATATGCAAAACATTCGTAGTGATTGATTTGAGACACTTTTTGGTTTCAAAGTCGTATTGGTGCCGGATTGGGCAAAACATTCAGTCGTTTGCAGCAGCAGGCGTAGACAGACAGACAGACAGACAATGCTCTATCTGCATCGTTTGTATCGTTGATGCTGTGGTGTAATCCTGTTCGTTCGTCTTGCACGGTACATTCGTTTCTCGGATCTTAGAGTGCGGTTGCGACGATGGGGTACTTGTTCTTGGGCATCCGCACCAGTGTTGGCTGCACCGTGTCGTCGTCCTCCAGCGGTTTCCAGCTGCAGCCAAATCGAAACCAAGCGAGCTCAGCTGCTGCTGATGGATGTATGGGAAAGCACTCGCCAGCCATGGCTGCTACTTCTGCTGCTTACAGCTTACCTGTATCGGCAGACGAGGTGGTGGACGAAGACGCAGATCTCCAGCTTTGCCAGGCTCATCCCAGGGCACATCCGCGGCCCGCTCCCGAACCCCAGGAAGCTATAAGGCTTGAGCGTCTCCTGCGTGAAAGAACATGGCAACACACTGTCAGTCAGCTCGCTTCCGGCGACAGGCGTAGCCGTCGAGCCAGAGCTCGCCGGAAACTTACGTCGAATCTGTTGGGGTTGAAGCGCTCGGGGTCGACGAAGACGGACGGGTCGTGGTGGATGGACACCACGTCCAGGTTCACCGACGTCCCCTTCTTTATCCCGTAACCTGCGTGTCATAGATTCTACTGCATCAGTCCATGCTGCTCTATCCAGTGTCGTAGGCAGGTTGCGATGACGATGTCACTGCCACTCACCGTCGATGCTGAAGTCCTGCGCCGCTTTCCTCGAGAACCATGGCAGGATGGTTGCTCTCCTCAGGGTCTCGTTCATCACCTGCAGCAGTACAGTTTCCTAGTGATGAGACCTATGTCTATCTACGAGAGACCGAGGCGAAGAGGAAGACGCATCAGAACGGCATGGCGCTGCTAGGTTTGAGATGATCTTTGTCTCACCTTGTTTGTGTAAGGCATGTTATTGACATCAGACCACCTGAGACGCGACGAGCCGTTAAGCCTCTCCTTGATCTCCAAGTGCTCCTCCTGCAACCAAACAACTGAACTCAGTGACAAGAAGCCTGACAAGCAGGAACGCTGGCAACGCAGGCTCTGCGGAGGCTCACCCGTAGCTTTTCCAGGACGTCGGGGTTCTCCCCGAGGAACTTGACGAGCCAGGTGAGGCCCGCCGTGGTGGTGTCGTGGCCGGCGACCAGCAGGGTGAGGATGTTGTCCTTGAGCTGCGCGTCCGTCAGCTTGTCCGCCTCGTCGCCGGCGTGCTTCCGCAGCAGCATCTGCAGGAAGTCGCTCGGGGCCTCGCCGCCGTCCCTCCGCCGCCTCGCGATCACCGAGTCCAGCATCGCGTACATCCGGTTCCTGGCCTTGAGGCCCCGGTGGAACGCCGTGCCGGGAAGCTTGAGCGGCAGCGACGCGAACGACGACGAGATCACCTTGAAGTTTGCCCGGAACTTCTCCTGCTCCTCGCCCTCCGGCTCCAAGCTCACCAGCATGTTGGCGATCACCTTCAGCGTGAACTGCACGGCGAGGTCGATCCATCGGACAAACAAACAAATCCCAGTCAAAATCTCAAGAGAATGACTCAGTTAAATCCCGTGCGCGTCGACGAGGACGGCGACGGTAGCGGCCGGCGGCGGCTTACCGACGAGGCCTCCTCCAGCACGAGCACCCTGCTGCGTCCGTGCCACGTGTCCAGCGTCTGCACGGCGAGGTCGTTGATGAACCCCAGATACTTCTTGAGCGCGTCGACGGAGAGCGGCTCGCCGATGAGCCGGCGCAGCTTCTTGTGCTCCTCGCCGTTGGTGGTGAGCAGACTGGTGGGACCCAGCACCTGCTTGCCCGTGTAGAAGAGGTTGAGGCTCACGACGCCGTCCTTGCCCGACAGCAGGATCTTGGCGGCGTCCCTCCCCGTCATGAACACTGTGATCCGCCCCAACACGTACGTCTTGAACACCTTGCCGAACCGCCGCTGCCGGTCGCGCATGAAGCTCAGGATCCCCGCGGGGCTCGAGAAGTCGGAGATGAAGGAGAACGTCTCGCCGATCACCGGCCACCCCATCGTGCCCGGGATGTCCCTCATCTCCTTGGACGAGCTCCGCGACCGAAGCCAGAGGAGGCCCGCGAGTGCCAGGGAGACGGCGACAAGCACGGGAGCTCCAAACACAGCCATCGTCGCGTCGTCTTCGTAGAGCTGCGCTACTGCATACCATCGATCGGTGTCAGCTGTCAGGTGCTCATATATATATCGCGATGATGCATCGAAATCTCTGATTCCTCGGGAACATCTTTATCTTTGTTATCATCTTCTCTTGACATCGTTGCATGCGAGGGGAACCATTTGGAGGTTCTTTGGTATCCCTTCTGTCCTGTTTTGTCATCGTTAGAAACTTGTTCCAATCTGCTTGTTTTTTGCCTATGTACTTGTCGTGCACACAGGTACTCCGATGCCTAGATCGTACTTTGGATCAAAGACTGCGTCATTGCTGCCGATGGCTCTAAAAATTTGTAGTTGTTTTGCAAGTTGATGAAAGGTACAGAGCACTGCCATTTGCAGTGACGAAACGCAATACGCAAGCTTTGTTTTGTGCGACAGATCCACTGTACAGCAGAGACGCTGAGACCGGCCTTGATAAGGACCTGGTGTTAATTGTTGTCTCTTCTTGAATAAAAAAATTATGAGTTCAAGAGAAAGGAGCTTTGGGCACTAAGCTGTTATCCTGGGAATAAACATGTATTATTGTCTGCCTTGTTCACCCGAATATAAGGGCCCGTTTGGCAGGGCTCCGGCTCCTCCAAAAACAACTCTGGCTCTGGATCTTGTGCTGGAGCAGATTCTCTGGCGTAGCTGAAGCTGTTTTGGGAAACCGTTTGGCTGAACAGCTCCTCATATCTGTTATGAATGGCTAAGATAGGGACAATGTCCAAAATGCCCCTGGCTGAACAGCTCCTCGTGTCTGTTATATGCTTGCAGATGTATTTATATTTCAGTGTTTTCAAAATTAAAAAAATACAAATTATTGACAAGCAATAAATAATTAGTGGCTTGTTTATATTGCAAAGTCATGGCCTAACTATTACAGGCATGTTAACAAAAGTACACATATGTACACCACAATTCTTGATACAACCAAACACATGCTCATGTAGATCTAGATAGGTAGATTGCCCTTGCAAGGTCATCTCGAAATTTATCCATGTTCCGGTCACTAGATTCTGAAGTTGATGTATCATCAATATTTCTAGTAGGAACATGCTTGCTATAGCGTGAAGGTATAGTGGGGCACGTAATCAGGATTACGGTCACATTTACTAAAATGTTTGTCTTGCGCATTGTTCTCACGAATGAAGTTATATAGACACATGGTTGCAGCAACAATCATCTTTTGCTTCTCTATTGGGTAACTCGGCATTTTGAGAAGGATTCTCCACTTCATTTTCCACACACCAAATGAACACTCCACCACATTTCGAATATTTGAATGCAAATTGTTAAACAATTCTTGCTCACCACTTGGAGCAGGACCCCTCCTCCATTCTGGCACATGATACCTTTGACCCTTATATGGTGCTAAGTATCCAGGTCTATTTGGGTATCCGGCATCAACATGATAATATTTCCCTGAGTACAAATATAGAAATTTGAAGATATTATGAGGTGCATGTAAAATAATTTGAAAACAGTATGAAAAAAATAAGATCCATCCATGCATACCTTTGGGAGGGTGTGGAAATTTGTCATGATCATTCTTAAGTGCATGAAATAGCACATTGTGTTATGCATCGACCCTGGCTGCCCAATAGATGCATATGTGAACCGCATGTCAAAATCAACAATAGCAAGAACATTTTGTGTCAGTTTGCCACTTCGACCAATGTATCTAATAAGGTCATTCGGAGGAGGTGTTGCTGAGATGTGAGTACCATCTAGTGCTCCAATGCAATCTTTAAAATGTGGCATCATCCTTTGATCATTACTGATCCTAGAGTGAGTGGTTGAGAAATTAGGATCGATCGGCCTGATGTAGTGCTCACACATGGACACCAAACAAACCAACACATCCTCAAATTTTCGACTAATTGTCTCTCTAGAATACTTGAATATACCATGTAGAGCACTATTGGACATACCATGCCCACAAACTACAAGAAACATAGCAAGTGATTCTATGGAATTCATGTGAAGAGATGATTGGAGACCATATGTACTCACTAACAAGTCATGCAGCTGATACAACAATGTTGCACTCATTCTGAACATTTTTTCACTGGCACCTGGAGTGTTCAACATCTCCATAGTCCATGCAAATCCAGACTGTGCGAGAGTTCTAGCTTCATTTTTGTCAACATAAGTCATGCAGTACATGGAAGCAACAAGGGCACTAGCAAATAGATTATTTTGATTGGAATGCAACAATACCATAGCTTTTGAAATCCACTCATAATCATCAGAACCACTATCATCCATGTCAGAACCAGAAGAACCATATCTGTACACACAAATAAAAAGGACACTAATGAATATAAGCCGAAACATGCACAAATAAAACATGGTCTTATTACTCAAATCATTACAATTGTACGAAACAAATAAGACGTCACAATTTAGTCTAACATCTAAATAGAAGGATACATGGTTATGCAACATAAATGGAACGCTATGCTCTACTTGGGTACATCATTTCTAGTCATCCACTCATGTTTCCTCCTCAACCAATCAAACCTATCCTCGTGAGTCCGCAAAGTCATGAACATCACTCTCTCTCCCTGCCTTCTTGGTAAAAAGTACGGTAGCAATGAAATGCTCATCTGTTCTTGGAGCAGCACCACACTCCTCAACTAAGGCCATGAAATCATGTATGGAATATCCAGGTTGTTCCTCCCTCCTTGCAATAGACTCACAAGAAACAGTTGTCATCTCATTTATCTCAACAAATTTATCCATCTGTTCTTGGAACCAATGACCTATACTTGTCTTAGGTTTCTTTCCTTTGTTGGTAATTGTCCCTCCGCTTCTCTTTCCCGGCGCACTAGTTAGTGTCACCGCCTCTGGTTCACTGTCATCATCGATGTTGTCTTCACCTTCTTCATCAACATTGATGGGAGAATTGGCACATGACGGGCTTGCTTGGGAAGGTGGTACACCACTAGAGGCATACCATGCATCATCACCAGTGTTACGAAGATCTTCAAACATAATTTCCAACTTGTCTTCATTCTGGAGGCCTCTGTGCCTGAACCGCATGCATCCCTTGATTTCCTGAATTCCAAAAAGAAAATAATTATTGGGTGAATTCCAAAAACAAAAAATTGCAACCCTGGTGATGATGCTTACTTTTGATGTCTGCTTCCACCAACTCTCTGGCATGTCAATATTCTTTCTCCCTGCATCCCATCCAATGCCTGTCTGCTTGTTGGTAAGCTTCTTCCAAACAGCGTATTCACCTTTCAATTTATCCCATTTATTCTTGAATTGCCTTCTACTGTACTCAAGCCCAGTTCGTTCTTTGAACCTTTGAATTACATTCTTATAGCCGGTCTTACTCAAATGAGTGTTCTCACGGTTCCCTTTCTTAACTTCATCGGCAAAAATGTCACACAATATACTAGTATTCTCATCATCCCAAACGGCCTCACTGTTGTGTGCAAATTCATGTTCATAAGATGGTGGCAAGCTACGTATTACGACTATGCAAATATTTTCATCAAGCAAATCTCAAAGTTCCAGAATATGACTACTACTAAACATGCATAAATGATCTCTACAAAAGGAATACGACTACTACTACACGATGCATGTGTATACCTTGAATCAGTGAGATCAACGGTGTCAGATGCAGGGGCAGCGGGAATTGGCGGCCTCTGTGCACGGCTACTTCTAGCACCTCGTCGCTGAGCAGAGGCACCATGACCCTGAGCAGATGATGAGCCGCCAATCTCCCCACGAACACCCCCAAGATCTTCAGTTGTCCTCCAATCCGGCCCAAAAGCTGCGGCACCTGATGCATAAAAATCCGGCCAATCCCTGCTCCCATTGCCACGAACACCAGTCGACGCACCTGCACACGAAGGGCACAGGCTGGCATGTTCACCGCCGCTTGGGGTCGCGCCGCTGCCTTAGGCGCGCTAGGCCACGGGCCGCCTCCTGCGGGCGCGCTCGCCCAGGCGCCACCAACCGGGGGCGCTCCCGACCATGGGCCCGCGCACACCCACGCGCCGCCAACCGGGGGCAGTCCTGGCCATGCGCCACCTCCTGGGGCCATGCCCAGCCAAGGGGCGCCACCCCGGGCCATGCCCGGCGACCAGCCTATGGGGCCGATGCCCACGGCGTCGCCTGCAGCTCCCACGAGGAGGGCGCGGAAGCCTCCCGACATCTCTCCTTCTGAGCCCGCGACACCCATGGATCCATCTTCAGTGCCGCCGGATCTATCGGTCTCCAGAACCCCCTCACCATCTTGCCTCTCGGGCTGTCGTGCATCCATGGAGGGAGGACGGAGCTTCTTCTCTCCACACCGTGCAGCTTCAGCCTATGAACGAGCAGATAAGGTTGGTTGGGGAGATAATGGCAGATGCTGTAATTTGTTGTGAACTTTAGGGGCAAGAGATATCGTGGCTGCTGGGTTTGACACAGGAGCCGGTGGAAACTCGATTTTTTTTGGCTCCAGTGGACCGCAGCGGCATGTGAGAGCACATAAACCGGGAATCATCCGCGGGAGCCGCTCGCTTAAGACCGTTTGGTTGGTGGAGCCATAAAATGACTTCAGAAGCCGTGCGAGGAGCGGTACCGAACAGGCCCTAAGATGTTAAATGCCTGCCATTTGTCTTGCACAACTGCACTGCTGCAGTGGCAAAGCCTTTGAATTCCAAGGATAGTCCACGGCTCATACAATTTGGCAACTGGATCTACTCCCTCCGTTTCAAAAAAAATGTGATTCAAACAATATCAAATTTAACTAAATTTATATATTTTAAAACTTACAATACTAAACATTTATCATTAGATTAGTTATGAAATATATTTCCATAGTAAACCTATTTCGAGACATAAATGTGTCGATGCTATTTTAAAAACTTATTTAAACTTAAGTGAGTTTATCTTATCTCAAACTTAGAATGGTATTCTTTTAAGACAGGGAATTTCATTCACCCACGACAAGGATAGATGTTGCCTGT